AAAACAGCGCAATTTTATGTTGATCAGTTTAATTTTATAACCATAGTCACATGACAGACACAGGTTAAGACCCTCTATCCCAGGGTATAGGTTAAGTTTCCCCCTACGGACACGTACCAGATCACGTGATTTTGCACGTACCAATCATCACGTGATATATAACGTACGTAGTTATTGAGATAGGATTTTTCTTAATTTGAAGACAAATTTTCTCCACAACTATATGATAGAATTCGATAAATTTTTTTTAAAATCAATTCAACGAATTAGTAAAATTCATTTAAAAAAAATTTCATCGAATTCTGCCGGATAGATGTTAAGAAATTTTCGATCAAAGTTTGAGAAAATTTCTGCCGCCTCTGAAGAAAATCATCACGGTGGAGCTTTTTTCAAACTTTGAGCAAAAATTTCTCGACAACTATCTGATAGAATTCGATAAAAATTTTTTTAAATCAATTCTACGAATTAGTAAAATTCATTTAAAAAAGATTTCATCGAATTCTGCCGGATAGATGTTGGGAAACCTTCGATCAAAGTTTGAGAAAATTTCTGCCACCTCTTAAAGAAAATCATCATGGCGGAGCTTTTTTCAAACTTTGAGCGAAAATTTCTCGACAACTATATGATAGAACTTGATAGAATTTTTTTAAAATAAATTCTATAAACTATCAGAATTTATTTAAAAAAATTTTCATCTAATTCTGCCAGGTAGTTGTCAAGAAATTTTCATTCAAAGTTTGAAAAAAGTTCTGCCGTTACGATTTTCTTTAGAGGCGGCAGAAATTTTCTCAACTTTGAATGAAAATTTCTCAATGCCTATCCGGCAGAATTCGGTGAAATCTTTTTTAAATGAATTCTGCTAGTTTATAGAATTTATTTTAAAAAAATTCTATCGAGTTCTATCAGATAGTTGTCGAGAACTTTTCGCTCAAAGTTTGAAAAAAGCTCCGCCGTGACGATTTTCTTTAGAGGCGGCAGAAATTTTCTCAAACTTTGATCGAAAATTTCTTAACATCTATCCGGCAGAATTCGATGAATTTTTTTTTAAATGAATTTTACTAATTCTAGAATTGATTTAAAAAATTTTATCGAATTCTATCATATAGTTGTGGAGAAAATTTGTCTTCAAATTAAGAAAAATCCTATCTCAATAACTTACGTCGGTATACATCACGTGATGATCGGTACGTGCGAAATCACGCGGTATTACCTAAAGTAGTATGGTATGAGGTGCGAATGTCGTTGAGTAGGATTATAAAAATTAAAAAAGCGTATGGCGTATATATACGTATACTAGAATATGCGTCAGATATACTCACTTGTCGGATATACTAACTTGTATAAATATATTATGTGTTCGGAGTTATCATATGATTATTGTATCACATGCGTAAAAATATATCTCAACAATTACATATTTAATATGAAAAATATGCCCCGACAATTACATATTTAATACGAAAAATATGCCTCGACAATTATGTATTTAATACGAAACATATGCCTCGACAATTACATATTTAATACATATATTGTTCGTGCAAATATTATTAATTTAAAGCAAATACAATAAGCTAATATATAGAATATTTTATTATTCTTGTTCAAGTTCACGCTCTTTGATTGTATTGGTGATTCGCAATTCCCTTAATTTTTCCTTTCTTTCTTCAATTAAAAGCATACGTTCCTCATATTCCAATTTTTCCATTGGTGTCATTAATGTTTCTTCATTACCTTTCATATCTAAAGAAAGATTATTTTTATCTGAACTATGCTCAGTTGGTCTTTGTGGTTTTTTATTTTTGGAAGCCTGTATAGAGCGTTTTTTTGTTGAGGTATTAGCGCTATCTTTTGATCGCTTGTTAGCTACAATTAAATTAATATATACTGTATTATAAGTTGAAATAAAATTTGTCATTCATTAAATTAAATGATTTTACTTACTGCTTCGTTTGATAGCTGAAATTTTTCGTTTAATGCCACTTTTATCATGCCCACTAAGATCAATATTATAGTTTTTTTTAATTTCAATTCTTTTAAAATATCGCATATCTAATTTCTGTCCTCTGAAATTATAAAATATGACTAGTGTTAAAAAAATAATTAATTACTTTTACAAGTTTATTATTTATTATTTACTTAATTTTGCTTTTAAAAAACCATATAATCACATATTATATTTGTTATTAATCAGGTTTTTTGTATATCAAAGCTAATAAGTAATAAATAATAAATATAAAATCTAAGCCTCATTTTTTCATGAAAAAAAAAGTAACCTTAATATCGCTGTCATTAATTTGAGATGTTTTCCTTCACGATTGCTTATTGAGTGTGCTGCCTCTGCACAATTTGTGCTATTGGGTGCTGCATACCAATCATTATCAGAAATTTTTGATATATTTGGATTAAGCGATGCAATAATATATGGTTTTTGATAAAATTGAACCCAATCTATTTGTTTAAAAAATAAATTATTTTTACTTTTAAATAATTAAATCATATATACTGTATATTTGAAATATTACCAATAACATTTTCATATGTTGATAATTTATTAAAAATAAAATCTACTTTTTCAGCGGTTGCTGTTAATAAAGATTCTATTTCCATTTTAATTTCAGGTGCAAATTTTTTTTCGTGTAAATTTCTATAAATAGTATTATTATAAAATAATATAAATAATTTTAATAAATTACTAATATTAATTATATATGAAGTTATAATAAACAAAATTTATTTTACCTTTTAAAATGAACTTGACATGATTTATAAATATATGTCAAATGTTCTTCCCAACTATATGAACTATCAATTGAAGTTAATATTTCGCCTAATCCAATTATTTGTGCTATATCTAAATCACCAATTATACAGCTCCAACCGCTTCCATGAATATGTTTAAATTTTGGTGGCTGTCCAGTAAAAAATTTAATAAGGTCAAAAAGAGATTCAAACATTCGCTTATATGCAATAGTAGTAGCCTGATTAGTAAATATTCGAGCAAATGTTAAAACTAAAGAATTAATAAATTAGTATTTAATTTTATTATATATATTTATATAGAATTAATTATATAGAATTAATATACCTGTATTTGAAGCTTTATCATAATAATTGATTTCAAATTCATTTATATTTCCAGCAACTCATTTAAATGATAAATCAATTTCGAAATAATTGCATTGAACCCATTTTTGAATTTGAATTTGTGTTGTACAAGTAATCATTATATGACCATCATTAAAAATATCTATATATCAATATAATTAATTAATTAATATAAAAAAAAATATATTTTAAAATATATAAATTTTAATTTAAAATATATAAATACTTATTTGTTGAACATAATCTTGGAAATTATTAATATTGCGTGAGAAATTATATGTTACTCCTAACAAGTCTTGACCAAATGGATGCTTCTCTTTTTGAATTTTATTTATGCAATAACGCAATTTGTCAGCATCATTAAGAGATACATGAACTTTACATAAATTTTCTACTCCAAAATATGTTTTAATTAAATTGCCTAATAATTAAAAAAATATTCTTAAAATATATAATTTAAATAAATATATAGTATTAATTTATATTATAAACTTTACCTGTTACAGTATGAGTAGGAGTAATATCTAACAAATCTTCATTTGCTTGATTAACAAGAGCTTGAAGTCTTTGTTTTATATAAATAGATGTTCATACAGGTGGCGAAGGTGGATGTGTATGTATTCCTTTACATACAAGAATTACAAATGGACACTCTTTAAGGTCCAATGGTGTAAGTTTATAAAATTCAACCTTGCATGATTTTTTAATAATACGACTACAGCAAATCATATTTTGATTTTGATGTGCATGTGCTATAAAATATACAGTAAAAAATATAATTAAATTATGAATACAAAAAATAAATAAATTTTTTATTTACCACAATATTTTTTCTTTGAAGAATTTGAAAGAACAGTATAACATACATTTGTAGGTTGAATTTGATCACTTTCCGCCTATATGTAATAATATTATAATAATATATAAATTAAATATATATATTATATATCAATAATAAATAAAATTATTAATCTAATTACTTCATATGTGCCATTAAATAAGTTGGATAAAACTTCTATATTAATATCAGAAGGAATATGCATAAATCTATGATACTTTTCATTAAATTTCCAATTTGCACATCCAATAAAATATGTAGATTCTGTAGAATTTTGACAAGTTAAATGACGTAATACTGATTTTTCTTCACATAATTTGTTATTTTGTTGAAATTTTGCAAGGAGAGTTTTGGGCCGCCAAATAAAATCTATATAAGATATAGAGAATTTCTAATTTTCACCGGGGGGGAAATCACCGCCTAATCACATGACTTAAATGTTACACAACATTTGCTATATTTCTAACCCGTGATAAACAAACTGTGATTTATACATTGTGTAACTACAGTCAGACCCTCTAAGTGCACGTCCTATGAAACACCTCCCTAAATGCACGTCTTCTCTTGGGCCCAACTAATATTACATCTATATATTTTTACCTCCCTAAATGCAATACCTCTCTAAGTGCACGTTTGACCAAATTTTTATATATGGTCCCGTCGCATTGCATTTAGGGAGGTCTGACTATATAATGTAGGCGCAAATTTTGTTCTGTTAATAAATAAGATGTACACGTACATACGTACGTACATATGTATATCGTACGCAACATAATTAATAAATGGCCAAATTCAAAACATGCGTAACTCAACAAATACAATGGTCAAATTCAAAACATGCGTAACTCAACAAATACAAAAAAACGCTTTGTAACCTTTAAATTTTGCATATAAAATTACCTTTTATAAATCAAACCCTAACCTGATACGTACGTAGCAAACCCTAACCTAACATAATAAACACTGATAATCTATAATGCTATGCCTATAGATAGACTTACTCATATTTCGATCTAAAGCCTTACTAATACATAAAAATCAAGGTTGATCTCTTAACAAATAAACTCGGAAGATATATACCCATTATAACATCGCTAAAAAATAGCACTCATACAAATTATTCATTATCATTCTTTCCAAAATTACTGAATGCACAAAAA